CTTTGAGCAGCCCGAATCCGTGGTCAACACTATGCGCGGTCGACTGGATGTCGCAAACAAGCAAGTCACACTGGGCGGTCTCCGGCAGTATATTTCTACCATCCGTCGGTGCAGAAGAATTATCTTTGTGGCTTGTGGAACCAGCTACCACTCATGCATGGCTGTGCGTGGTGTTTTCGAGGAGCTTACTGAGATACCTATCTCGGTTGAACTTGCCTCGGACTTCCTGGACAGACAGGCACCTGTCTTCCGTGATGACACATGTGTTTTCGTTTCCCAGTCGGGAGAGACAGCCGATTCCCTGATGGCTTTGCGCTATTGTCTCGAGCGCGGTGCCTTGACTGTCGGTATTGTTAACGTTGTCGGCTCCTCCATCTCCCTCCTGACTCACTGCGGTGTGCACATCAATGCTGGGCCAGAGATCGGTGTCGCTTCTACGAAGGCATACACATCGCAGTTCGTGGCCATGGTTATGTTTGCGCTCTCGCTTAGCGAGGATCGGGCTTCCAAGCAGAAGAGACGCGAGGAAATCATGGAGGGTTTGGCCAAGGTATCAGAGCAATTCAAAGAGATCCTGAAGCTTAATGAGCCCATCAAGCAAATGTGCGCAAAGTTCTTCAAGGATCAGAAGAGCTTGCTGCTGCTGGGCAGAGGTGGCCAGTTCCCCACGGCCCTTGAAGGTTAGCAGGTCGATCTTTCTTGTCATCACTCCTCATTAACATGATTTTATAGGTGCCCTTAAGATCAAGGAGATCTCCTACCTCCACTGTGAGGCTGTTATGTCAGGCGAACTGAAACACGGCGTTCTTGCCCTTGTGGATGAGAACCTGCCCATCATCATGATCCTTACGAGGGATAATATTTTCTCGAAGTCACTGAATGCTTATCAGCAAGGTTAGTCAATCCTCCGCTCACATTCGCAAGCTTTATTCTCTAACCATCCAATAGTCATTGCACGAGGAGGCCGTCCTATCGTGATCTGCAACTATGATGACCCAGAGTTCTCTACCGCTCAAACAGAGAAGATTGAGGTCCCGAAGACGGTCGATTGCCTTCAAGGACTTTTGAACGTTATCCCATTGCAGCTTATCTCGTACTGGCTTGCAGTGGGAGAGGGTCTCAACGTCGATTTCCCCCGTAACCTCGCTAAGTCGGTTACTGTTGAATAGAGGGCGATGGAGAAAAACGATAGATGTGGGCACGAGAGTGGGAACTTTCAATTAATGCATAGGGTTTCTAAATTAATGATGGTAACATGTAAACTTTGCAGTATTGGTAGTTTTTGCCCATATCTCTCTTAGTTGCCGTTTCCGTTTGGTTTCTGCTTCCGTTGTATCCGTCTGTTTGAGGTGTTGTCCGGCCAGCTCGTCGCATGGCAAACTGTAGCAGCCAGTAGAGTGTCTAATAGTGAACTAGACTTGTACATATCAAGCCGAAGGCAGTGAAGTAACCTGCAATTCCGTGGGTTGAGAGTGGGGGATCTGAGGGATGTTTTATTACATCAGTAAATATTGCTAACGAGATATCTAGCTCAAGGGATCATTACCCCTTGACCCAGCGGGGTACACTTCCGATCCCCCACTTTGCGTGGGAACTCGCACATATATGTTGCACATTGTTTGTCTGTCTCATCAGCTTCCTCGAACAGCACCTTCCTTCGATTAGACGACAATAGCCCATCGAGGCCCTATATTTGGACATCCCATACAAAAATTCGAACGCGATGACTTCTCTGTCTCTGAAAGGCCCGGGCGCTGCGCAGACCTATGATGGTAATGACGTCTTTCAGGTTGATCGTACGACTAATGATCCGTCTGCTAAAATTTGTTTTCCTTAGGAACTGGGCTACGAATCGCCATTGTCCATGCGAGGTGGAATATGGGCATAATTGGTCCTCTCGTGGATGGGGCCAAGCGGAGCCTCCTTGCAGCTGGAGTTGCTGAGAATAACATAACGGTCCACACTGTTCCAGGCAGTTATGAGTTGCCCTTTGCCGTGCAGAAGTAAGGCCATTGTCATCGAGTCTTTTCTTTCTCAGGCATTATGTTAGAGAGTTCGGAGACTGGTGCTGACTATGTACGCTGTCAGGTTATATGCGGCTTCGCAGATTGAAGCTGCCAAAGGCTCAGCCTCGGCGCAAGGCATCAGTGCCACTGATTTGCTGTCTTCCTCTACGACGGACCTCACTAAGGCGTCTCCGCAGTCGCCATCGTCCGATGCACCTCGACCTTTCGATGCCATCATTGCCGTTGGAGTGCTGATTAAAGGAGAGACTATGCACTTTGAATATATCGCGGATGCCGTCACTCATGGATTGATGCGCGTGCAGCTTGATACGGGACTGCCGGTTATCTTTGGCGTGCTTACTGTCTTGACTGAAGAGCAAGGCTTGGAAAGAGCCGGCTTGGGCACAAAGGGAATGCACAATCATGGAGAGGACTGGGGTAATGCTGCAGTGGAACTTGGAGCAAAGAAAAGGGACTGGGCTGAGGGTAAAATTGTTTAGTGGACCTTCGGCAAGGCAACGATCTCTTGTTTCGTTTTGAGTTATTCTGCCGTTGATTTAGGGTAATCAATCATCCTCTACAAAGGAGAAATCATCAATTGTATACGTCGAAGATCGGGAACCTTGATTGGCGGTCTTAAGGCACAATTGCCATGTAACATACATTCGTTTACCGTGCATCAGGATATGAGGTTCACATGAATAGGGGTAAAGTGACGAGATGAATAATTCTTAGACAGAGTTTCAGGTGTAGGGTTGGGACTGTGAAGTTCACTCCTCCATCCGCTCGTTCTCGTTTGAATCGCCCTTTGTTGCGTCTTCTTCCTCATCCTCTCCCTCCAGAGCTCTCTTTGCTGCCCGCTCTGCCTCCTCACGAAGTTCTTTCGGTACCTCCTCGTGCCTTCCCTTCGTCGGACCGTCTAATGAACTAATCCAGGTCATTTCCAGTTCGAAGTCCTTGTCTTTACTGTCTTCATGGGCGACATAGATAATTCGAGCCGCTTCCTTCACTCCATCGAGAAGGCTCAGTGTGCCGGAGCTCAGGTCGAGTTTCTCAAGCTCAGCCTTGGCTGCTTGTCTCCCTTTCCCGGTGGCGGCGCCATAATAACCCTTCGATAGCGTTAGCATCGTCTAAAAGCACCTTTGTAAATTACAGGAGCATACCCAGTACAGGCCGCTTGGCTCAATCATATATAGACCTGGACCTCCAGTTCTGGCGCCCTCGACTTTACCGCCAGAACCCGACTTGGGCCCACTTCCGACCTGACCGTCGACAGCAAGCTCGGCTTCGGAGTCCCAGCCTCCGACAATAGCAGTCACGCCGAAAGGCCTGACACTAGAGTAGAGTGTGTAAGCTTGCACGTAGCTCCCAAGGCGGTTGGATAGCGCAGAAGTTGGAATTGGCCCTTTGTAAACACTTCTCCATGATGAAGCTTCATCACGAGCCCGAGAAACGAAATGTCGCCCGTCCGGCACCAGACCGGCGGAAACCTGCCATGGAAGCAACGTATTAGCGCGACAGACTCCTAATCAGCGTAGACGCCCACTGTTCTGGACTCAGCTTGGATCCTTACAATGCCAACGTGACGATCAACCGTAGCTATTCTCTTATTGGCGCCAGGCTTCAGAAGCTTGCTGGTAATGATTTTCTCCACTGCGAGCACGACACCATCTTTGCACCTGATACCAATGGCTGTCCCTCCATTCTCTACCGCTTTAACGGCATATTCTACCTATTTTGAATAGTCAACAGAGCCGCGTTTGCTATGAAGATGGAGAAAGGCGAATGGATACCTGGAAGTTGCGACCATCTGGGGAGAAGACTGAGTTGGAGAGATCGTACCCAGTGCCAATGGAAGTCTAGGTAATGAGATAATCAGTCACGGAGGAACGTCGACTTGGGAGTTGAGGAACGAACCATGGCTGGTGAGGGTTGTTTGACACAGATTCAAGGGATGGAGTAGAATTAGAAGATTTGAGAATGTCGATAAGGCCAAGGTGTTGAGTTACTGGAGACACTTGAAAGCTTGAGCACAGGCAACGGGGCAGTTAGCAATGTGATCACTCGGGTAAGGTAGGTAGCTAAGGTACGCGTAGTTAGCAATGCCTGCCTAAGCACGAACAGCTGAGTACATCATCCCCTTCCTGGTATAGGCTAGTGTCTTGCCGCTTTTACCAAGCCCGACGCTGTCATGTGATGCGATCCCTGCAGCTTTGCTGGCCCCACTCCGCCGGGTTGCGATAAGGGATAATAAGTCTCGTTGCATCATCTTCATACATCTTATAATATAGCATACTACTTACTTCTACGCGAAAAGGCAAGCTACTTATTGCACCGATTGTGCGCCACATTTGATTGGACTTAAGATATCAACGGTTGTAAAGTTTTGTCACCTGATAAATACTATATGTTCGAGGGGATACGGCATGCAAATAACCGTATGTAATTCTATGCATGTGGGCTGGCATGCACTACTGGTTTCCATCCCCGCCGGCTTTCCCCTGTCGGCCTTATAATGACCATCTATTGAATGACATGGATGGTCCCATCAGTACATAACCAGCATCCAGGGGGTGAACAGCCACGCGACTCTCACTCGGTAGGTAGGTATATTTTACGTTCTGTGAACAAGATATTGTAAGGCTGCATGAATAAGGTACTGGTCCTTCTGACCTTCATTATGCATGCCCAACCATGTGTCTGTTTCGGGCATCGACATGTATCGGTTTACATTTGACCAGCGCCTCCCCACCACATTGCTTGATGTTTCCTATCTAATCTTCCTACCTACCGAGCAAATATATCCTTTACTTCTGCTTGCTTCCCTTCAGCTAGAGTGTTGTATCCTAAACTGGACCTGGAGCTGTCTAGGGCTTCAATATTCAATTCCCCTCCACTTTGCCGCTCGCCCTTTTATTTCGAGAACACCAAGAGGGAGAAGGTCAAGTGTGCATCATTTGCCATCCATTTGCACTCCCAAGATACATAGACGATATGTCTTCATCTATATTGCATAGCTGCCCCTGCTGTGGGCAAGTTACAGATATCTCCAATGCACTTGCTGCTTTCATCGAAAACCCCTATTGTAGCCAGGTAGATACTTTTGACCTTTTGATATCATAAGCTCTCTGACAAGAGAACCATGCAGTGTGGATTGTCCGGTTCTGAAAGCGATTTGAAATTACAGAATGATCTCTCAGCACTCTTCGACAAGGGGATGAACTTAGGAGCGCCGTTGTCACCCGAAGAGAGCGTGGGAGTACAGCGTCCTGCTCCCTCATCCCCAATTGTATATAGCATCACACAACATTACCATCACTCTGCGCATGTTGCTCAACAGAATACTACTCGTCCCTCCGAAGGTGTTCATCGCCGCGGCACCAATGCTACCGTCAACGAGACACTCCGACAGCACAACGTGGACCCTTCAACACTTTCGGCCAAGCAAATGGAGCTTTTTGAACATGCCATGCCAGAACAACAATCGCGCCTCATCCAGATATGGCAGATCTCCCCAGAGCATAGCTATGCAGCAACTAGCAACGTCACCGGAACTAAATCGCTGGACCAGGAAAGCTCGAATGTAGCCGGCACTATTGGCCATGCCCCGACTCCATTGAATTGGGCAGCCACAGGTGGTGATCGTGAAATGTGCGATGTGCCTGATAGGAACGAGAATGGGGACGAAGCACACCAGTATGCTGAGCCATATATGGTAAATGGGTATGAGGCGATAGCCCGGGAATGGCATGGACTCCCTTCATCTCAGCCCACACACCTCATGGCTGAACCAACAACCGGATCACCGTACAAGCTTTCAAGTGACCCTGTTTACTATGCTCACTGTCGAAGATGGTGGGAACCTACACAGCAAAGTTCGGTGGAGTATCAATACGGTCTATTCGACGAGATGAACCGTCATCCCCAATGTGGCCTAGTGCAACCTCGTTAGATCGAGGGTACAAAGATGGCCATGGCGTTCAATCCCAGGTTGTGGTAGTCATTGCCCAGATAATGTTACCATAATGACGAGCCCGCGAGTTTCCGGCATGGTGAATGTCATGGAATGTTACGCTTGGATCGCTTTATATCTCCCTGGCTCTCGTCTGAATTGATAGAAATTTATTAGACAGTCTACTCAATGCCGTCAAAGAATGCATGTGCTTATAGCGACTTGAACTACGGAAGAAGCCTGCTAACTCTAAACATACTGTAGAGGGAGAGAGAACGTGTTAAAAGGATTTTGTAGTGCTATTTTGTAATAAGCAATATATGACCATGGGAGCCCACAGACAACTTCGTAGACATGACAAAACTATGCTCCCTCTATCTCCCAAGCTCCTTTTGTTCACCATCTCTCCCTTTTTCCTCCCCAGGTCTGAGCGCCACACCCATTCGAGGGCCATGTTAGGTATTCATTCAAGATCTGAACCGAAGGGCAAGGACTCAAAGAGGTAGTTGTAGCTGCCAGCATCCAAGAAAGTCGGTGCGGTAGATATATTGCGAGAAAGAGTGACTAGACAGTACGCAGCACTTGGTTTGCTGGTCTTCAATTCGGCCTGGATGTAGTATGTTGGATTTTTTTTTTTTTTTTTTTTTTTTTTATTTTGGATTTCAAGCCAAAGCACCGCCCCAGGCCACAGTATAACAGCTTTGGGAGAGAATATGACGTAGATCGAAAGTAACGTAATTGGAAAAATATGTAAAAGAAGAACATAAAGAACCCCGACTCTGGTTGCTTGAGTCCTAGGAAGACTGGCGACGGGCGAGAAAGAGAAGCATGGGCTCGTTGGAGGCAGTGGCCCAGCCTACTGGAAGTCAGACTCGTCGATATCTGCCATAGCCTCCGCAAAGGCATCGGCAGAGCGCTTGACTTCGCTGCCGGCTTCGACAGCCCGCTTGATCTTGTTGCAAGGCTGACCAGGCAGGACACACCATCTCTGAAGGGTCTCGGGAGAGGCGTCCGCAATGGCTTCAGCCAAAGCATCGGCAGAGCGCTTGACTTCTCCGCTAGCATCAGCCGCACGCTTGATCATGTTGCATGGCTGGCCAGGGAGGTAACACCATCTCTGCAGGGCAGCAGCCTGCACAGTGGTGGCAGCAAGAGCGGCAAGGACAATAGAGACGAGCTTCATCTTTGCAGGAATGTGAGGGGGGTTTTTGTTTTCTGAAAGTCAGATAGATTTGAACTTGAGGGAATGCTGATTGAGCTTTGGCTTGACAGTTAGTATTTCTCCGAGACTGCCAAACACGAAGAACCAGAGCCTTTATATAGGTTGCTAGTAAAACGCAGAAAACCTGGGTCAAGTCTGCCTTGCCATGCATCAATGGAATATATCGCTATTGAAGCGGTTCCAGAGCCTGAGCAAGGAAAGAGAAAGTACTAGGGAGCAACAACATCCTCCCTGAATAGAGCATCAATTGACCAGGAGAGGCAACACATCAGTCAATAAAGTAGATACAGGGTACATTCCCAATGTATTGAATGGCAAGGCAAGAGAAATGAGCCAGAGATTCAATTGACATTGCCACCAATAGAGACAAAATATTGGAATATGACTATTCGTTTGGTGTTAGCTACCGGCTTCAATAAGGAATAGAAAGGAAGTAGACTGTATAGTAAGGTCGAGAGGGAGGGGGAAAGAGAGAGACCCAGGGGTCCGAATCAGACATCTTTCTTTATCCATCGTCCACGATGCTCTCTACAACCTCATATTTAGTAAGATCGCAGGCTTTCCAAAACTGGGTGTCAATAACACTCAGGCCTAATGAGGTGGTCAAATAATCAAGGTTCCCTTGTTCTGTCAATAAGACAAAGTATGACCAGATTCAGCTATCAATAAGCTGTTGAGTACTTTGACCTTGATGAACATGGGGTGGTTGTGAACAAAGCACCCGCTCTACTTCCGCAAATCGGATGTTTTGAGACCCTCGACGAGGACCGGCATGTGGCGGGTCAGCCGTGGTTGCTGGCTGTTTCTTAATCATTACGTACTTTCTTGGGACATTTCCCTCTTAACATGAACAGAGAAAAGCAAGAATAAGACCATGTGGTCGTACATCCGTTCTCCCTTGTGAGAATGTACAGTAGGTAAGAGGATCCTTGTACGTATAATAGACTGGAACCATTTTAAGTCGAAATGCTGGTCGGGGCGGTGATAGAGAGATAAGATCGGCCCGCGTGAGTAGTAAAGTAGTTTTGGTTGTCCGACATGTTCTTGAGTGGATGCCGAGACGATCCGCCGTTTTTTCCGGTGTCTCGTGCATCGCTGGCTTTAGGTCTTTTCTCGCCGTCTCCGGTTCCGTCTTTGTCTTTCCTCCCTCTCCCTCCTCTCTCTCTTTCTGCTCTCCCGTCCGCACGTTTTTGGGTCCCCTCTCCTCTCCTCCTCCTTTTCGGTCCGTTCAATCTTATTGTCCGTTTTTCTCGACCCCTTTGTCCATCAAAATGTTCTCTCTGCGGACGGCGCAACCCGCGCAGGTAAGTGGATGGTTCCTTGCTTTTTGACCGATCAATTCCTTTGTCCGACCCGACTTCGCTCGAATCCTTGCCCTTACTTCCCTCCCACCGCCGTCCGCTACGTCCTTTCGCCCGGCTGAATTAGAGATGAACGCCTGGGCGCACTTGGAATACGAACTCTCATATACTTTGCTCAATTGCCTTTTCGTTGACGATCTACGTTTTTGGTTGTTTCCGATTCCCTCTAACGCGGTTATGCTTGGCAGTCTTTCCTCCGTCGCGTTGCGGCGCCGACTTCCTTCCGTTCCTCCATCCCGGCAAGATGTGCGTCAACCTTCTCAATCGCGTGCAATACCGTCCTGCTAGAGACATAATGGTTTATTGACTCTATAACCCAAGCCTTTGCTAGCGTTCAGTCCGATATCTTCAAGCCCACTAAGTATGGCGGCAAATACACCGTCACTCTCATCCCAGGTACCTATACCCGCCTCTTCCTCAACTTGATCAGTTTGCTGATGCCTCGGTGATTCGCTTTCATAAAGGTGACGGAATCGGTGCCGAGGTTGCTGAGTCGGTCAAGACTATCTTCAAGGCCGACAATGTTCCCATCGAGTGGGAGCAGGTAGATGTTAGCGGTGTTGACACCGGTAACAAGCACTCGGAAGAGCTTTTCAAGGAGTCCATTGCTTCTCTGCGCCGTAACAAGCTGGGTCTGAAGGGTATCCTCTTTACTCCAGTTGAGCGCTCCGGCCACCAGTCGTTCAACGTTGCTCTCCGTCAGGAGCTGGATATTTTCGCCTCGATCGTCCTCATTAAGAACATCCCCGGCTACAAGACCCGTCACGAGAATGTTGATCTTTGCATTATCCGTGAGAACACCGAAGGTGAATACTCTGGTCTCGAACACCAGTCCGTGCAGGGTGTTGTGGAGTCCCTGAAGATTATCACTCGCGCCAAATCCGAGCGCATTGCCAAGTTTGCCTTTGGTTTCGCTCTTGCCAACAACCGCAAGAAGGTTACTTGCATCCACAAGGCCAACATCATGAAGCTTGCGGATGGCCTTTTCCGCAGCACCTTCCACAAGGTCGCCGAGAACTACCCGACTTTGGAGGTTAACGACATGATCGTCGACAACGCCTCCATGCAGGCTGTTTCTCGCCCTCAGCAGTTCGACGTTATGGTTATGCCCAACCTGTACGGTGGCATTCTCTCCAACATTGGGTCTGCCCTTGTGGGTGGACCTGGTGTTGTCCCTGGTTGCAACATGGGCCGCGACGTTGCTGTGTTCGAGCCAGGCTGCCGTCACGTTGGTCTTGACATCAAGGGCAAGGACCAGGCGAACCCTAGCGCTATGATCCTTTCTGGATCTATGCTTCTGCGCCACCTGGGATTGGACGACCATGCCAACCGTATCTCCAAGGCCGTCTATGATGTGATCGGTGAGGGGTGAGTTTCAGACTTTCATTTCAAAATTTCCAGCTTAGTTCAGAGCTGTCGCTAATGCGTAATTCCCTAGTAAAACGAGGACCCGCGACATGGGCGGACAGGCTACCACCCACGAGTTCACCAGGGCAGTCCTGGACAAGATGGAGGCTGCTCTGTAAATTATTACCCACTTGAAAACCGACCTCCCACCTTGCATGTGGTACCTGCTACAATTATGATGATGAGAGCTTGTATAGGCCAGTGAAATGTTTTTATTTCTATCTGTAGACCAAGCTTGGCCTTTCTGACTGTCTCTATAACTTGTACCCCCTTCCACTCCATCTGACACAACGACGCGCGGCGTCGGACACATGATTGTGTGCTATGGCGCGTAAAACTGTACACAAACGTTTGAATTTGAAAGCGTGTCTCTTCCAACATCCGGACTGCTTAACAAAGATCCCAGTAGACCAACGATAACTGAGGAATCCAGTGTTCAGTAGATACGAACTCCAGCGGCCTGACATTGGCGGGGATGCCATCTCCCTTGGGATAGTCTTAGCTTGCCCAGAGGCAAAAGAAATGGCGCCAAGAAACCTCCAAATGGGAGAAAACTCAAGTGGTATGCAAACGTGAAAATTATAGCCGCGTACCGGTTGCCGAGCCCTACTCTAGCTCTCCAGCAAAAGCCGACACCGGAACGCTGGATTCTTTTCAGTGGTAATTGACCGGCACAGGGAAATCCGCCTATGATAGAACGATCTGTACCGGGGTGAGGATGTGACCGGGGATTATAATAAGGGCATAGTGAGCGCGCTGTACAAGAGAAATCAGAAAGCGGGACGTCGTTTTCTGCCGGTATATTTCGAATTCGCCTTCACAACCTTGCCTTTCCGGGTCATCTGTTCCTTTTTCCGTAGAATCCAGGCCTTGTCGCCCTTCCGGGATGATGCTTGTTTGCCACGCTCCATAGCCCTTTTCCGGGCGTCCAAGACATCCACGTCGTTCATGCCTTCAACAACACCGGTGATGTCACCTTGTAATCCACCTCCTCCAACGGTGAGCACGAGGTAGAGTTTGCTGTTCTTTGTACCCGGGTCATCCTCCAGTATACCAGCTCCAAAGCCGGCCTTCATGGCAGCCCCACTGATCATGCTCCGCTGAGCGTCGTTCTTTGGATAAAATTGGCAAACTGCGCGACCACCACGCCGCAGGCTAGCATAGAGGCCCTCGAAGAAGCGACGAAGACGGTACTCCGGGCTAACATCACTAGACTCCGCATTGCAGAGCCATTGGATAGCACTGATGCTAATGGCTGCATCGAAACTTCCTGGCCGGAACGGTACTCCTTGCCCGATGTCAGCCAGGAAGAGATCGCCATCGACACCGCGCTGGAGGGCAACATCGAGCATGCTAGGTGAGATGTCCATGCCGATCCAGGTATGCGGGCCTCCGTCTTCGGGTGCCACCTGGGAAAGAATCTCGCCGGAGAGACCAGAGCCGCAGCCAAGATCAAGGATCAAAGAAGGTGTTTTCAGGTCTAGGAGGTCGAGTGCCCGATGGGTCATGTCGGACTGAATGTTACGGATACGAGACGAGGTGGTATATTTTCGGGACTCATTATCATCATAGAATAGATCCGGAGGCCTTGAATAGTAGCACCGTGTTAGTGATAAATGGGCTACTGAATTTCCTCGTAATCCACCAAGGGGTCACCTACAAGACATCTTCAGGACGCGACATGTTTGCGATCAAGTCCCTAAGTGTTTCGGGCGGTTAGAGAAGCAGAGCGATGTTGAGGTTTGAAAGAGAGGGGGAAAGTCATTCATACCTCTCTCACTATTTTATTTTTTTTTTCGGGGGGAACCTACTTTCGTCGGGCGGAGTGTAGCCGCGGGGGCTTGGCATGCGGTGCGGTGGTGCACTTTGTTGTATACCTGAGGCACCAAGGACGGTCCAGATCGGCCAACTGATTGCTCTTGTTACATCTTGCCAACTATCCGATGCTTGATGTTACTACGCCCGTGCCTATCGATTTGAACCGGTCCGCAACGCCCTCGCCCTCGACTTCTACATAATGTGGATTCTACCCTTGGTAGGGTATTTGGGGGTTATTGTAGGGTTCGCTTTCCTTACGTTAGCGATAGGTACGATATGCCCGCAATGCGCGCGATGATGATGACGATTGGTCTTGCTTTCGGGTCACCATAGACAATAGAACGAGATGCCGAGCTCACATGGCTTGTGATGCTATTTGTATTCATCAGACTGACCTGTCTCTAGCCTCCGGCCTTTACTACCTCTCGGAGCTTGTGGAGGAGCATACAGTTCTCGCCCGTCGGCTGTTGTACCGGCTGATATACAGTATCATCGCCGTTCAGATCCTTCTTTACTTATTTGACCGATTTCCTTTCTCCTTGACCGTCCTCAGTATCGGCTCGCATATCGTATATGCCAGCAATCTCCGCCGATTTCCTATAGTCAAGCTGTCCGACCCTCTCTTCATCCTATCATGCGGGCTCGTCGGGTTGAATCATTGGCTTTGGTTTCGCCACTTTTCACAGCCATTGCCTTCATCGCGTGGCGCTAGCAGCTGGCGCCAACCATATCAGGTTAACGTGGAGGATATGCCAACCTTCACAGAGGTTGCGTCTTATTTTGGACTCTGTGTCTGGCTGGTTCCATTCGCGCTCTTCGTCAGCCTCAGCGCGGGCGATAATGTCTTGCCTACCATGGGCTCCGAGTATGCCACAGGCGACCGTGTGCCTACTTCGGGGTTCACCCCGGGCACATTTGCGTCCGACGGAAAGTCCAAGAACAAGGGAATGGCCAAGGCCCTGGTGGATGGCGTGCGGGACTGGGTTAAAGATAACGGGGAATTGATGGGTTTCTGGAAGGGTGAACGGGCAAAAGGCTTTTAGGGACGAGATTATTTTCTGCTCTAGGCCTTTGTACTAACATCATCTTGTCGGATACCCTTGGCGTTCTGCTCTCGGATCAAATTCCTACGGGCTCTCACTGAATGACTGGAGGGAAGCCTTCATGGGGTACCCACTAGCAGTTACCCGTTCTGGTGGAGTTGTCTTATTTATACTAGCTATATAGGCTAAAGAAACAAACCAATGTGAATCCGCAGTTCTCAAAGTGTAGCATATGCACAGGCCAAAACCAAAGGACGAAATCATAAGGCGTGAGGGTATATTGTTAGGCATGCCTCCTTCCAGTAGGGGTTCACGGTGTGTACAATCTAATAATAAGTATCACAGTGTGCTGCGTGTCAACTCCGGACTGCAATAGGCAAGGACAGGGAAGATAATTAGAAACAGAGGATTCTCCAGTATTATTAGTAGTATTAAGAGTACCCCGTAGTCCTCGGCTAATTGTAGCAGAAGTACAATGTGGTCGTTTCACATTCGTTTGGATCGTCGAGCTCGGTCGTGACAAAGGAGCCATACTGCAACATATCTGAAAGTCTCAATGACAACAGGTCGAATCTTGGCGCGGGGAAGGGAGATATGTAAAGAAACAAGAAACAGTAAGTAAGCTTGAGGCTTAAAAGGAATTCATGATAACACAACGCTTAATATGACGTGAGAGCCCATTGGAGCACGCCATAATCGTAATTATTCACATACAAGCTGCGTCAAACTTTGAAGAGTCAGCGGATGATATTGATTGGTAAGCTTGAGGAAGAACCCATACCGTTTTCACCATGGAGCGATGCAGGAAAGTCCTGATGGTTGACTTCCATGAACAAGAGAGAGCTCTCCCTCCTCTTCGCCTTAGCCGAACGAGAGTTGTCAATATTCGGCGACAACATCCTGTTCAAGGACGGCGAGCTTGAATGGCCAATGGTATATTCATCCGGCCCACTTCCAGTAGAACGATCATGACTGTTGGATACAGAGCCTTTATTATTCTGCAGGTAAAAGCCATCCATGCCGCCTGAATGTTCACCGAATGTAGTCTGACCATAACCTGGCGTGGATGCCTCCGGAGCAACCTGACGAATGGGGTACCGGAATTCTTCATGGGAAGGAGAATAATTGACATCCGGCTCCAACGTTTCAGCAGGAGTCTTGAGCACCCCATCAAAGATGTCTTCGAAGTCGGTGAGGAACATTGAGAAGACGGGCGCTGGGATGTTCAAGGTAGGAGCAAAGACAATACCAACATTTCTGATAGTCATCTTATTGACATCAGAGTTGTTTACAATAACAATCAAGAACTGGACCAACGCGCGCAGCAAGGCCAGGTTTGGCTGAGGGAGTCGGTGAACAAGGTGATTGAAAGCGGCGATCTTCTTTTGTTTTTCATGAAGTTCTATAAAGGTGTGTTAGTAATAGAATAAACCGTACAGTGTGAGTACTTACCGAGTACCCGCAAGAACTCTAGATGAAGTTCGCGGGTCAAAACCGTGGTGGGAAGTTCGCGTAGGTATTGCTTGAAAAGGGAGGCGACGGCATGTACATCATGATACTGGTCATCTGCGAGAAAGTCCACATCGCCTTCAGTATTGAACCTCTCCTTGAGTGCCTTGACAACAAGATTCGACCCGCTCAACCGGAAGATTCCTTCCTCTGACTCAGCACCTCTAGCTCTGAGATATTCTATGCAACGATATACAACCGCAGGTAAATCAGCATCTATTCCTTGTGGTGCGCAAAACTGTACGGCTTCAGCCAAGGGCAAGCCAAACACTGGCCGGACGAACTCTCGCTTCTCAATATTGTTCTGCACGGGAGCCAGCGAAGAATCATGGCAAGCCTGGAGCTGAGTAGCAAGGTCAACAGACGACCTTGTGCGGAAACCCCAAATACTGCGTTTCTTTTCCTTAACGCTCGTAGCTGCTTTGTTGCCCCAAGCTCCCGCGTCCTGGATTACAGCTCCATTGGTAGGGCCGGAGATGAGCCTAGATGAAGACTGACCATGGTCTGGACCGGAATCTGCAGTATCGACTGAAGGTCCTGTAGAGGCTATCGGGGACTTGGGGATCTGTCGATCAAACGATGGCCCAAGGACAGGTGGCTCGGCAGGAACAGCATCATCGTAACTGAAGCCCTGAACTGCAGCATCAGCGCCTTCAGTGTCTGGATTGTCGATTCCTTTGTCTGTCTTCTTTCCGCCATTTGAGAATAGTTTCGGTTTGGCAGCAGAACTAGTCTGCTGCTTTGAGGTTGCTGATGGCAGCGACTTTGCAGGACTATTGAGACCATCGTTCTCAGACTGACCATCAACATATTCAAGAAGTGCGTCCACCCAGGTATCTCTTTCTTCGTCACTCTCAGCACACAGTACATGGCGAACAAGAGCTGACGAGTCCTTGCGCTTGGGCTCCAAAATGAGGAAAGCATGGCGATACTGGTTGTCGGAGTCCTCCTCGGTGTGGGACGGTGAGCTATTCCGACCGCTTGCATTCTGCGATTGCTTGCCAATTTGCGCGTTGTACAATTTGATCGTACCAAGATGAGGACCGCCTGGAGACTCGAAATATTTTAGCTCGGGGCTATGCAAGACGAAATATCGTGCTTTCCAGCCGCCGAAGTTCTTTCCTCGTTTTGTTAGATACCCCTCCTTCCTCGGTTTACCATCTGGTCCACGTAAGATTTCGGCACCAGCTTGGTGATTACCTCTCAGTAGACTCATCTCATCATCTCGGGGTTCAATGGCATCTGATGTAAGGAATTGACATATGACCAACGCCGCCTTGTCGTCCATCGGGGTATCAAGGAGAGCTTCAAAGTAGGCATTCAACGCGGCACGTCTAGTGTCAACTTTGGCGGGAGAATGTCCGCTAAAAATGGACCGTTCAGGCAACTTTCCTCCAAAAGACGACAATTGTCGCATCTGTTGATCGAGTTGAGGAAGAGCAGCGATAACCTTTTCAGTGCGCCAAAGCTCCATGTTTTCGGATCTTGAAAATATGCCCAACGTGAATACAGGTTCTTCCTCCGATTGCCTAGAAGCCATATAGCTATTTCTGGACGGCCGAAGTCGTGATGACGAAACCTTGACATGTATTGAAGGGAGGGCATTTGGTGGCAGCAGGAGGTTTGGATATTCATCCGATACAAGACCTTGATATATCCCGTTATTCCTCACGACTGGTTCTTGTGGGCTGTCAATCTTAACTGCCGCATCGATTGATGGAATAGGCCGATTGTGAGCATCGACTGACATGGAAGAATATGCAGAACTACTTGGGATTAAATTAGAAGGGGTCCCTGCAGAAAAAGGATTCTGATGCTGGCCAGTGCGCGGCGACAGTGCCAATCCGGAAAGGTTACTCTCAGACGACATGGGCAAAGACGATAGAGCACCAGGAATTTCCCTGGGTAAGCGCGGCAACGGAGAACCCAGCGGGCGGTCCTCGGGCCGTGGGCTGACTGGCAAACCGGGACTCTTTGGAATACTGATGCTAGGAAGGTCGCCAAGTGGTCCATTATGTCTCGTACGGGGACTGGACGCGGATGATTCTGAATGGTCAATCGAAGGCTGTGCTTGTCGCGGGTTTGACAGCGATTCCACAGCCGCCAAACTATGTGAATTGCTTCCTTGGCTTCCAGGGTCCTGTAGGCTCTCTTGGTCTCTGTTGAGGGCTGCCTCGCGTTCTCGATCGTCATCATCTCTCGTCCTTCTCCGCCCGCGCTCCATTGGCAACTCATCCGCAGCCAATACATCCTCATACTCAGAGTCAGAGTCATATATATCAGGCTCTGTTGATATATCTTTCTGGGAAAGATTCAAGGGAGCAGGCGGAGGTTTCCGGACCGGAGGGGGCACATCCTGCTGCTTATCCTGCCCTGGTGCAGTGCTATCGACGGGAGATCTTGAACCACTCGAAGATGTTGGACTCGCTGTCGACAATTCTCGCCGTGTATATACCAGTGATGGATTGCTTTGCGTTTCGGCTTGCCGATCATCAAGAATAATGGAATCGCTCACGGTACGCTCCTTGCCTGTATGTGATGGCAACTGGCCTACACCGAGGCCTTGTAGCGAAGCCGAATTAGGCGAATCTTGTTTCTCGACAGCGGCGGACTGTATAAGAGTAAAGCCCTGACCCAGATTGTCGGAGTCTATGCTGTCCGAATGCCCACCGCGATTGTGCGCCTGGCTTTTTCGGGCAGGTCCATGGCTGGTCAACGTGCCGCTGCTTTCGCTGTCTCGTGATCGCAGTTTCGAGTCGATAGTGGATGGTAAAGGCGGCGGGGAACTCTGCAACTCTTTAACCTTTTTCCTGTAGCGTTCCTTCTCTTTCAAAGCACGTTCAAGATCTTTATTCAAGCCTAAAATGAGTGTACGCTGCTTATCAACCAATCGCCAGAGCTGCGAATTTTGAGAGGCCGCATGATGCTTTTCCTTCAGGAGGTGTATAATCACAGCCTCAGCTGACCCAGCAGTCGCTATCAAATTTCCGATATCAGCCTGACTTAGCGCATTGGCATCGAATGAAGACTTGTGAGTTTGAGAAGCGGATGAAATCGACGAGATGGCCGAATCAATGGAGGAGGTTCGGGGCATCATACGCTGACCCGGACGATTTCCGGAGGGCGATTGAAGAGAATTGGCTGGCGAGGTAGGAGAAGACATCCTGGAACCTGTCTGATCTGGTATCTGCTGCGCCCGATTATCACTCATTTTATCATTCATATCATACTGCTTGAGACTATCCCAAGTGTCTCTCACGACCGCTTCCGATCCGCTGGATGTCTGTGAATGGGTATCCGAGGAAGGAGTCTGAATTGTCGCATATGCTGTATGATTTGTCGTATAGTTGCTCTTGAACATGGAAGGACTACTGAATGACTTCGGAGATAGCGGAGTCTGCGATGGACTGGCGCTGACTTGTCGGGGCGATGGGAAGTGTACGTTCGTTTGAAGAGGAGATGGCGTAGGTTTGCGGGGGGAAGCAATGGCAGCCCCAGAACGCAAAGCCTGTCCGTCAGAACGTGGGCCCAGATAGTCGCGAGGAATCAAATCGCTGGGTAATGACAATGGAGAGTGCACCGTGCTTTGGTGCTTGGCTGTAGGTAACGTGGGAAGGGGTGCAGGTAGCTGGTTGATGGTGGTATTGTCGCTACCTTGCCGCCGAGGCTGCGACATGGCTTGTTTAGGAGTCGGAGCTCACTCCACGCATGGGAGGGAGGCGCGGAACCAAACAACGATTGGACGCTAAACGCGGACGGTTCGACTGGGGGGTTTCAGCACCAGCGGGCCAGGGGGGCCAGAGCCAACGGTTCGACGGTTCTTAGATTGAGGGAACCACAAACATACCTTCCGCACATGCGAGCCTTCGCCGTGAGGACAACACCGAGAACTGACGGCATCGGGTGATTCCCTGGGAATGTCGGGCTGGTTAAGGGAAGATGTTGGAAGAAGTTCGGTGAGTACGGCGACTCATGATTTACTGAGACTAGTTGCAAGATCTAAGCCGAGTGGGGAAGGGGCCAGGGGAACAGGGGAAAAAAAGAAGAAAAAAAAGGGGGAGGGGATAGCAGAGCATAAGCAGGAAGGATCCTCCCTTCTTTCAATGAGAATGCAATTTGAGGCCGAGAATACTGGTGCAGGGAGGAGAGCTTGTAGGTTTCTATGAGGGTGAGAGCGAGGCAGAAGATTAGAAGTATCTTTTACTGTGGTGAAGAGATGACAGCCACCCTTCAGTATCCAGACTTGCAGACAGAAGTAAACAGTCTTGCTGCATTTACAGATGCTTGGTTTAAAACGGCTATGCTTTGCTAGGACAACTGATTGGTTCAAATTTCCCCAGTGACATACCCTTTAGAGATAGGCGCAGAAAAAGCATATGCCGCTAGTGGTCCTGCATGAAAAGTAAAGCCCACTTTTGAGAGAAGGCCTCAAGGGCACCATACTTGTTGAATTTGCTTAGCTGGCCCGTCCAATATGCCCCGCCGCTGAAAACGAGAAGCCGAGAATAACGTCAGAAAATGGTGGACAACCCACGTCAGATGAGAAGAGAGGCATATAATAGGACATAAAAACGCCAGAACACCCTGTCTAATGCAGCCCCCTGAGGCAAAGTAAAACAAAATTCGAGGGTTGGGTAAAGATGAGATCGCTTTTCCCCCCTCCAACGCCTATATCCTGGTGAAACCAAATTACCCAGCTTAAACTCCCAGACACCCGTATGGTACAACTATACAATGCTATGCTATATTTCCGGCCATGCCCATAAAAATGGCCTGGGCAGCTAGTTGGAGTGACCAGAAGCCAACTTTCTTGAAACGTCGCTTCCGAGCTTGCTCATCAACCACATCTCGCGCAAACGCATCGTATACCTGTCCAACATTTAGTATGTATCATAGATCACCGGTGCAGAGATTGTAGCTTACCGCTGCCGAAAGATCATCCATCAAGCCGCTATCCCAAGTGGTCCAACTGCCATCAAAATCTCCGAGGCGTTTGACGAGGCGACAGTTCACAGGAATGAATGTACGCCTTGAATTAATATAGGCAACAATGGGTCTAATAAGCGCATTGTTGATATATGAAAGGTCACGTGTGAAAAGAGGAACAACGGCCCTGACATTGTTCAAGTGGAGGCGGAGATCGGTGACTAGGAATCGCCGGTCATCTTCGGCAGCAGTTTCTTCTGACGAATTTATGTTGGACGTGGTCGACTCAAGGTCCAGGTTAGACGAGACTGTCGCTTCTAGCCGATCATAGAATCCGGCCATAACCTTCGCAAGGCTTTCATCATTCTCCGCGGGAAACATGATGTCGGAAACGATGTCGACCGTTCCTTCATGTATCCAAGAGAACGGACCCTGGACTCCCCGATTTAGATGATCAATATTTAGACCATCAATACGAATCCTGCTATGCTTCTTCCATGGACTAGGTTTACCATCTTCGTCACCTCCATTTTCCAGCTGTGCCCCGGTAAAGCCATGAGTTTGTCGAGGGTGGATTGTGAACAATGAGTTATCGTATGACCCCGACATCATATTGGCGGACATAAAGTCATAGAATAGCCACTGTTTTCTCAATTGAGGCAAATCACATGAAAAGATGCTGACAGGGAAGGGTCTGAAGTTGTCTGGCTGGTACACGGTAACCAAGACATCGCTCATCTTGAAAGAATCAATCTCGAAGTCACCAGGATTGTGCTCGTGTCGATAAGATTTGGGATCAAGATCGTCATCCGACCAGTGAACATATCTGCGGTCGACTACTCCGCGAATGCCCCGTACCTCAACGTCACGAAGAAGTCCTTTACCGTTGATCCACTTCGTGAATGACAAGGTAACATTGACCGTTTCGATCGACACATCGAATTGTGTGTAGTTGGTGTCCTCTTCATCTGACACGGGCCGCTGCTCGGGCAGTTCAGGGTTGGTTTGCTCCCCGAGAGCGGCGGCGGCGACAGCAGCAGCGGTTTTCGAAGAGCCCTTACTTACATGCCCCGTTCCTTGTCCTGGTCGCCTGGAGACAAAGACGTTCTTGAAAGTGATCACGCCATCTTTCCATTTCGGAACAATTGCAGACTCGAAGACGACCTTTACACCGGAAGACTTGGTGAGATAATTGCCGATCCAACCAGCCAATGTTTCTATAGAGATTAGCATCGGATTAATGTCGATGAGAACCACTTCGGGCCTACCTTGGGCGAACACGGTATTAATCGCAATGATAAGCAATGAGAAGAAAGTGGTAGTACCCAAGACTACCCAAACCACATGTCCCAAGAGCACCCATGAGAAGAGAGCGGTTATTTCATCCAGATTGAAAGGCCTGACACTTCGTATAGAGAACCACTTGAACCGGACCTTAAGTCGTGACCAGAACCCATTAGCTGCAGCCAACAATTCTTCTTTCGTGGGCCGGTGCAAGTGCGGTATATGTGGCAATCGGTCCCTGAGATGGCGGTTTAATTGCCCTTTTTGATTGAGCTCAGGTAGCTGCGGTTCGGAGACCTGACTTTTATCGTTGATGGATGTCTCAGAACCTTTACTGAGCCTGTCAGGATGATGGCGGCTGTCATTATGATTTTTGGAATCCTTCCGTAACTCGGTCGTCCTCCGATCATCTGGGCTCGTATGAAAATCACGCCTAATCGTAAGCCAGGAGACAATACCCAAGCCTTTTCTTCCCGGTGTAGAGATCCTATGCGGCATCAAACACTTTAAAGGGATGGCGTATGTTGCCCTGGCTGCAGTGTGATCGGAGGCGCCATGTACAAAGCCCGCGGTAGCATATCCTCTGATAGGTCGAGTCGGTTGTCGTGAAAGTGAGCTATATCCTTTCGCAATATGCAAATTGCAAAGGCCAGCACTGAGGTCTTCTGTGTTTGTTTTATATGATAGGCACGAGACGCGCCTTTCTCGCAATCCATATCCAAATATTGATTCCGTTGTTCCCCATAAGTTGGTGTACAACCTGCGCCCGAGATAGCCAGACATGATTGCCGTCACATGCTGGACAATCTGGGAAGGCAGGTAAGCAGTAGAGAATCCTCTCTGATATTGATCAGAAACCTGCAAAATAAGCCAGGTTATTAGATGTATAGCTGGGATGACAGGTGCATGCGTCTCAAATCACCGGGCAGAAGCACGGTGCTATCTAACCAGGCGGACCGCGAATAAATTTCCATGAAATCATCCCGCCTCAACAGGAGCGGGTCCTGTTTGTCATGTTTGCATCGAAAATTCACAAATTCACACTATAACCACACATCTTTTCCATAGACCGTAAAATCTGTGATAACGGACTCCGACTCTGATTTGCAGCCTAAACCGTCGAGTATTCAGATCCCACTCACAGAACCATGCCTGCACCCACAGCTTTACGGCAAAATGCCGAAGTAGAAATGGCAGAGACGCTTGTTGCGCCTACTATGTCAGGTCAGTCCCCGCCAACGCTTTACGGGAATCCGACCGGGTGGCCATTCTAACGTCTTCCAGAGCAAGATGAGGAAATCTTGATCGACGCACAAACTTCGGCAGATCAGGTTACTGCAGGTCTCGCGCCTGAGGTTGAGCCCACTCAAGACAGCGATATGCGTATCGACGAAGAGGGACGGCCCCTCTTCACGCCAGCCAAAGACACTAGCAGGGTATATCGAGTCGAAAGCAGGAAGGTTCCTGTACCACCGCATAGGATGACTCCATTGAAGGCTAGCTGGGCACGCATCTATCCCCCGCTTGTCGAACACCTCAAACTTCAAGTGCGCATGAACATCAAGAATCGAGCTGTGGAACTACGTACGTCACGATTCACGACCGATACGGAAGCCCTGCAGAAAGGCGAGGATTTCGTCAAAGCTTTTACTCTTGGATTCGATGTCGACGACGCTATCGCACTTCTCAGGTTGGATGATCTTTACATACGTTCATTTGAGATTCGGGATATCAAAGCCCTCAACGGAGAGCACCTTAGTCGTGCAATTGGACGTTGTGCTGGTAAAGATGGGCGAACAAAGTTTGCGATAGAGAACGCTACTCGGACAAGAATCGTCATCGCAGACCAGAAGATTCACCTGCTAGGCGCAGTGAAGAATGTCGACTGTGCCCAACAGGCCATTGTTAGCTTGATTCTTGGCAGTCCACCGGTCAGTAACCTTGTGCCGACCCTGTCAATTGTCGTCTCAGATGATGCAACGGCTGCTAACTCCTCAATAGGGTAAAGTGTATGGGAACCTTCGTAAGGTGGCTTCTCGCATGAAGGAGCGTTTTTAGGGGGAAAAAAAACCAACCGTCAGCATCATGGGAACTACGGTCTCTGCCTCTACCAGAGTTTTGTTTCTTTTTTCTTTCTTTTTATGACATGGTATCGGCGTTAGGGGTTGTGGCATATGATCTGGATAGAGTATAATGGATATGACGACACAGAAACGAGGGAAGGAATACTCCACTGGATATTTTATCTATTCATATTCAGAAAATTATCGCAAGAGTATAACACTAAACTAGGCTGGTGAAGCATTGATTAAAATGGGCTCCGGTATGCCTAATCCTTCTTCAACGGATAATAAATTTCCTCGACTCCACTCCTGGTAATAACCATCATCTGCAAGCCATCTCCGACCTCAATATGTCTTTCGACGGCGCTAGTGAATGCATCCCGCACCAGCTGCTCAACGGTATCTCTTGGTAGTGGCTCCGCTTTCTTGGGCTCAAGGGCATGCCCTTCCCCGCTACCCGGAATATATTGGTTTTTGAAGTTGACCTGGTTGTCCAGGAACGGCATGATCAGACTTGCTGCAGACCCTGCAGCCCTGCATTGCTCTCTCTCGTACGAGCCAACCGGATCGTAGCTGTACAAGGCACCCTTACCATCCTCGTCCAAGCCCGCTAAAATAGCATGCACATAGTAGGGAAAGAACCGTTTCTGGTAAAGAATTGTTGACAAGCGTTGGGCACAGGCTCTCACGGACATGGGCTTTCCGTGTTGGTATTTGTACATCTTCACCACTGCATCTAGTCGCTCTTTGAGGGCCTGTCCATCTGCTGCGAAGCCCACGACTGACAAGACGATGTTGGCACCTTCGCCAGACTCGTCATCACCGCCAATTTTGAACACCTTGGGAACATAACGAGAGTTAATGTTGTATCCTGCAACGGATCGAGTATCTCCAGCCAGGATCGCGAAATCGGAGCCAGTAATGCCTAGGGTAGAGCCGCCGTTATCCGTATAACTGCCGTTGTAAGTTAGCTTAATACCTATGATACAGTGAAGACAGTGATGCATACGGATAGAAAGAGTGCTCTCTGTGGGGAGCATTGTTCGCATTGGAGAAGGAGTATCCGATGGCCTCGCTAAGAGGGTTGCCGGCAAGAGTCGTCATTCTTCGTAGAGTTCGAATGTGTAGATAGTATCAATTAGGATGAAGCGATGAAGATTTTGCTATACTCTGGTCGTCTAATGACTGTGGATGTAGCGGAGGGTGTTCGTTATGTAGGTAGTTGTTGAAGTGAATAGTAGTAGGACCTCTAGCTGAGCTGCTGCTGAGCATCTGACGCGGTGTTGTAGCTGCCTTCTGCTTATATAATCACGCACAGCTTCCGTCATGGTCTGGGAGCAGTTGTTACCGCGGAGTGAACTGCCGTCTCCAGGTTAATTAAAGAATTAGCGTTGTCTTATTTGAGTCTAATGTCCAACTCCTACGCCTCCTCATAATTCATATTATCACACGAGCGCTTTATCTTTGAAGCTCAATTGGCTTATCCGAAACCCGGAACGCACTAGGAACTGACGCCCAGTTATAATGCTTGGCTTAGGAGCGTATGAAAGCAGCAGTGACGAAGAGGTGGAAAATAATTTGCCCTCAGTACATTCGAAGGTAATTGGAGCATTATGCTGTGTTATCGGCCTTTACTAATTTGAACCCGGCAGAAGATCGCAAGCCAGCAAGCGCAGCCACAGGAAGTGACAAAAGCTACAGGTGATTGGAGATATAACCTACTGGTCTGAATCTAGTGGGACTTATCTAACATGTTACCAAAGCAGAAACCGCCAATGAAGCCACACCATCGAAAGAGATACCTGTTCCAAATACAGACAGGCCTGTTCTTGGGCCGACGCATGAAGGCTCACAAAATCCGCAAGAGCAACCAGCCGAACATTCACAAATCTTCTCAGCGGACCGAACATTAATCCATGACCTAACACTTCCTCCGATACCAAATCTAGACATCCCACCATCTCCCCCTGGCTCTCCTAACCCTGCAGCAAATGCCAAATTCGCACACTTCTTGACCCTAAAGAAACAGGGCATGCATTTTAACGAAAAGCTTGCCGGGTCTACATCCCTCAAAAACCCCAGTTTACTGAAGAAGATGATGGACCATGCCGGCATTGATGAACAAGCACAATATCACACATCTTTACCACCTGAAATATGGAATATCAGCGATCTGCCAAGTTGGGGGTATAAAGAGGAGCTTTTAAAAGCGCAGAGGGAAATTCAAAATAGGGCTGAAGAAAAGAAGTCCGCAGGACAAAGGGATGCTATCAACTTTGTGCCTGCCACGCCTAGCGAGTTCTCCCGTGCAGGCCCTATTCCTAGCTCAAGGCCAAAACAAAGGTAATACACGATGGATAGTTCAGAGTGCAAGTATCACTGTCAATGACGGCTGGGACAGTATGATCAGGCGTACAATGCTTGGGAAGCAAAGAAAGGCCCTCCGATCCCAAAGCCTATGATAGGAGGCCACTTTGTAAAAGGAAAGTTATCTGCTGATGATAGACTTTCTCTCACGAAATGACTATATAACGTCTATTTCTAGGGTCAAATAACCGAAAACGTAGCAATAGTGAGATACCCGTCATCGTGCAGGGACGACTCTTTCTTACTGTAGTAGTAGGAGGGCCTCTGTCATCTTTAAGGGGGCCAATCTCCAAAAATCCCTTCCTCCGCCCCTCAAAAAGGCACCTCATCCATTTAGTTGGAATCTGGAAATAAGTAAGACGCAACTAAAATATCTATGATCATTTCATGTTTCTTTTGTAGGGACTATTGTTAGGCTATACTTGGCAGTATCTAATTTTCGCTAAGCGCGTGTGTTGGCCTCCGATAGGCGCGGCGGGAGGTGATAGCATTGCTCACGTAACATGAGCTCCGTCAGCTCTACTGCCTACCGACCCGACCCCAGAACAGCGTCGATATCATCACAAGCTACTATTTCCTTCTCAAGCATCACTTTGAACTTCCACATCAAAACCACATTTTCCGGTATACTCAGTGAAAACACATACAATCATCCATTCTAATATCGTTCCAATCGCCCATCATGAATCACTTTCCCGAAGCTTGGGGTCGCGTAAGAGCATCATCGCATTAGATTAATGATGTCGCTAACAAAGTGCTGAAAGCCTAGGGATGACGTTTACGGACCCTACAACGCCTCATACCTCCAGACAACTGGCCCGAAAACCCACACTCAGTCACCTGCTGTGACTGGTACGTCGGTAGTGGCAGTCAAGTTCAACGGCGGAGTTGCCATTGCTGCCGATAACCTAGGTATAGCTGAGAATCATATTGGAGACTAAAGTCACACTTTCGCTGACGGCCAATCTTTCATATAGCATCATACGGGTCCCTTGCCCGCTTCACCGACGTGAAACGACTTCGCAAGTTTGGCGATTCTGCCATCATCGGATTCAGTGGTGACGTTTCGGATATGCAGTATATTGACCGACTACTGGAGTCCATCGACATCAGAGAAAATTACTCTACCCACGGAAACACGTTGAACGCCAAGAATCTTCATACTTATTTGTCGAAAGTCTTCTACAAGCGCCGTTCTGAGTTCAACCCCCTCTGGAACCACGTCTTGGTGGCCGGGTTCGATGGAGACAAGAAGCCATTCCTCAGCTCAGCGGATCTGCTGGGGACCACCTTCTCGGCTCCGCATCTCGCGACCGGCTTTGGTGCCCATCTTGCCGTCCCAATCCTTCGCCGGCTGTTCCCAGAGGAAAGGCCTATTGAGTCAATCACCAAGGATGAGGCCGTGGCGGCGCTAAGGGAATGTATCAAGGTTCTCTGGTACCGTGATGCGCGGAGTCTGGACAAGTACTCCTTAGCTGTTATTACTGAGGAGGGAGTTGAGATCCAGGAGGACCAGCAAGTTGAAGCCCAGAGCTGGGCATTCGCCGAGACCATCAAGGGATATGGGGCTCAGGTTAACTAGGATACGGCTTTGATTACATGCTTGTGCCACTTGAGTAATAGAACAAATCCAACAAAGTACGTATGGTGAAGTCACTGCGAACGTGTCTTGGTTGTAGGGCGCTATATATATGAAGATGCACGAAATAGTAGTCGTGATGGTTGGTGATCGGGATGCCACATCGTTCAAGGGACTCCTGACGGTCCTTGTTACACCCGATAAGCCCCACGCCACCTGTTCCTCTCAATATTGATTCAGAGCTTAGAAGAGGGCTTGTCGAAAACAACGCGATTCAGGCATGATCCGACACCCTCAAGAGAAACCTCAACTAAATCACCATCCTTGAGCCAGAGCGCCGGCTTTCGACCCATACCAACACCTTGGGGTCTGAAGAAGTCAGCCTTGTGCATGGTAAGTGCGAAAGGAGCAAATAAGCGCTAACTTACGTTCCTGTAAAGATTACATCCCCGGGCAACAAGGTGGTACCCTGAGATAAGAACGACACTGTCTTGGCCACATTGAAGATCATATCCTTGGTGGATGATGATTGGACCGTCTGGCCATTCAGTTTTGTCGAGATCTGCAAGTTGTTGGGGTCAGGGATTAGCTTCGAAGATACAATACCTGGTCCAAAGGGCGCCCATCCGTCGAAGCCCTTGCCCAGCCCCCATTGCCCTCCACCATGCTTCAACTGCCATTCACGATGAGAGACATCGTTTCCAACGGCATAACCCAAAACATAGTCCAGAGCGTGGCTCTCGGGCACATTCTTAGCTTCCTTGCCGATAACGACAACCAATTCACACTCATAGTCTAGACCCTCACCCTGCTGGGCCATGCGGGATACTGGGACGTCATCTCTAGGCCCCGTAACAGAGGTGACGGGCTTGTAGAAGAGCACTGGAAATTTGGGCAAGGGTAGGTTTGATTCTATGGCGTGTTGTTCATAATTGAGTCCCAGACAACGCACGGTCCCAATGTCCTTTCTTGCCAATGGCGCCAGGAGCATTTTGATATCAGCAATCTGGTCTGTGACTTGATGCTGTCCGAAAATGTCGCCTCGGATAACCCGTGCTCTCGTGGCTTGGGCAATGTCGCTCACGCCTGTTGACAATAGGGCGTCTCCATAATAAGTCTGGCCGTCCTTGGCCAAGAAACGAACCAGACGCTGTGCCATGAGACACAATATCAGTTCTTGGAAGAAGGAGTGGGCCAATGGAAAGGATACGGACTCACGGAAAAGGTGACCATATCGATCAAAGGTGCTAATAGTAGTAGATAGTGATGATACCCGGTGTATATAGTAGTAGTCGGATAAAGTATATCAAGAGTAAATGAAGTTTAGTAGTATGATGAATAGCAGCTGGAGTCTAACTAGGAGGTGATATAAATCTGTATTCCAAGACCAAGAGGGAGTTTGGTCTGACGAAGCTGCCACTAGCACTTCTTATCCCGATAGCTGACTAGTTACTAATGTTAGTACGGGAAATAGTTAGATAACGAAGAGGGGGTTTCTCCAGCTCCTCGGCTCCAGGATTCTCGGCCGGAAGGGGAAAGCAGCTCGGCTACTACGTATGGGGTAAGCGGATCGGCAGCCCCCGGGGAAAAAGCCGGACAAGCTACCAGTAAGCATGCTCTGCATTTCCGAACTTCTGAATTCTTCAGTCCGGTGATGCAGCTATACCACTACTAGCACTCGCAATTTCCTCCAGTTTGCAACGACTATATAGATCCCATGGCTCGGCTGTCAGGTCTCCAAAGACAGGTGCTGTCTCTGTATCGGACATGCTTGAGAGAAGCCGGGAAGAAACCCATTGTAAGCAAACACCTCGTCGCGCTGTCAAAAGTTTTGTTTCACTGGCTAGCCAACGAACTTGGGCTGATAAGTTCTGCTACTTCATGTACGGTAACTAGGAGACGAGAGAGAATTTCAGAGCATATGCTAGGTGCGTTCCTTGATCGGGGTTCTTAATCGAAGAAACCTGTCTCCTGGCATGTTCGCTCAACAGTGTGCTAATCTTGAAACAGGGCCGAATTTCGAAAGAACTCCTCTGTTAGCAAGAAAGATTTCGGTGCGATAGAGTATCTACTACGGAAGGGGCAGAGGCAGCTTGAGATGTACTCATCCCCCGGGATTCGCAATATCCGGTGATTTCGATATCCTGTCGCTTGCGGGGCAGTCCCAGATATTCAAAAAACGACCCTCCTCCTTTGGATGTAGGTGAATGGCCCAGTAAACGAAATATAGCATGGCTTTTTGCTCCCTATGATGCAACTTTTGGAGGCTCACTTCCTAGGGATGAACTCTTATGTCACGTGATTGCGGAAGATTCGCGCGGGTTCTCGAACCGTAAGCCGCTTATCTTATCGGGTCGGTGACGGAAGGCTCCAGATGCATCTGGTGTCATCTCGCGCCATCGCTGTCGCTCCCAGCATCTGCCAGAACGCTCGGCTTGCTTCTGTATGACAGAGAAAGTTGGATGATGGCGTTTTCTAGAAATCCTCTGGTCAGGAATATAAGGATGGGATTTAACCAGCCTAACATGTTAGTCTGTACTCAGAATCAATCCAATCTCATCACAAGATAAATCAGAGACATTCATATCCTCTTTATCAACGATCCGAAACCGCAGCTATCTCCTTCAAGATCATTAGCTTTCATCAATCACCCTTGACATTCTCACACAAATCACAAACAATGGCTTACTTCCCTCGATTTGCCGGTGACTTCGCACCCTTGTTCCAACTTCTGGACGATTATGACGTCCACCGGTCTAGCCGCCCCAACAACAGGAAGGCCACACCCGTCCGCTCATTCACCCCGAAATTTGATGTCTATGAGGTGAACGACGTATATCACTTGGAAGGCGAACTTCCTGGGGCCGAGCCGAGCAACATCGAAATCGAATTCTCTGATCCACACACTCTGGTCATCAAAGGTCGCGTGGAGAAGAATGAAGTGGGCACCCCTCAGACAACGGGTCAAACATCGCCGACAAAGTCACACCAGCCGACAGTTGAGGATGACGATGAAGACGAAGACAACAAATCAACCAAGTCCTCGGACAGCCACCCCACGCAGCTGGTCTCACAGAAACAGACCGAGCCAACCTCCAAGTACTGGGTTTCCGAACGCCAGACTGGCGAATTCTACCGCACATTCACCTTCCCGACGAGAGTGCATCAAGATGCAGTCAAGGCCAACCTGACAAATGGAATCTTGTCGCTACAAATCCCGAAGGAGCCTGCCCCTCAGGTCAAGAAGATCCGCCTCGAGTAAAGCGATCGATAATTATCGTCTCGGATTTTTCTTAGCATCGGTTTCCACTCTGCGACATTTCCGTTTTCTTCTTGACTTACCTACCATGGCCATACGATCTTCTGCCAGTTCACGCAATGATATGAATGTTTCTGCACCTGCATTATGATGGGGTTCTGTGGGCCAGGAGTACATTGGAACGATTGTTCATTTTCTGCATGTATTATACTAAGTTATCATGCGATGACAAATAATGAATATTGAATTTTCTTACATATGCTTCCTCGTAGAATACGAGTATGAACGAAATATACCGACTGACAGCATCACCCACGACAGAGATTTTGTAGACATGTCCGATTTATCATCTTGATCTCTACTTACTGTAGATACTATTACCTAAGTATGTTTATTACCACGGCCAGTACTATCACTAATTGAGTTTGCAAGCGCTACCATCCTGATTACTAGACACCTCGCACAATAATCCAGCGAAAGCACATCATCCATGCACGAGGCATACATAAGTATGTACCGAAGGCATCAGATATCAGATCCATAGGTCAAAATGGCATACCACTATATCCCACGAACTAGTCTTTCCGTAACTTTAAATTGAAAGTACTCTGGACAATACTCCGTAACTATGCAAAACTGCAGTCAAAAGAAAAAAAAAACCTACATATTACAAGTAATGTGAGATAAGACCGAAGAAAAGAAGGTTTTAACCCTTGCGTTGAGCGTCTTCCCAAGCACATGTGGTTTGCTTCAAGTATTTTGCTTCAATATTATGCATGCAAGATGCAAGCTCCCCACCCGTGGGTACGATGGATTGAGAATCATTGCCGACTGTGGGGGGAGGGGGGCAGGTCTGCGGCTCCACGATTTACACGGTAGTTACTCCATATTAGATAGATAGTTAATTTGGGGGGAAACTTTGTGTGTACGATTAGCTAATATGGTACTAGTTACATGTAACTAACTAGTTAGCTGCTGGAGTTCTTGAAACTAAGTTCTCAGATAACTCTCTAGTGGCATGTTTGTTAGTCAAGGTCTGGATACATCTATCAGATGTGTAACATCTTCTTTGGAACTGCTTGCTTACAAGTAAGAAGATAGCTACTTACCTACTCCCTGTATGCATGCAGCTTTCGATCGGGTTGGGTTCGGCATATGCCAGGTGGTCTCGGTCGTTTGGGCGTCTTCCGCCTTGGATTGCGCGCTTGATTGTAAGCATGCCCGATCCTTTGGATCACAAGGTAAGACTAACCAGCCTAGCTAACTGGGTATGAATGCACGGACACCGCCATATCTTACTTGACTCAGTTCTCATCAATTGATGATGGAGAAGGGGTCTCACCGCTACATTTGGTGTTTCGGACTGTTGGGCTAGATGGCAGCTTATCGCGGCTATGTAATACTACTACTACTTGGCGCTGATGAATTGTTCACACGATACAGGAAGCCCGCAAAGCGGGGATAGATTGATGAATATACGTCGCTTTTCTCCTTGTCCACTCCAAGATATGTACAAGCGGAGGGAAGGATCCAATATAGTTAATAAATCAAATGTCAAACAGTAAACACGAAAAAAAAAAAAAAACAAAAAAAAAAAAACAAAAAAAGGAAACGCCTAGACTTTCCCGCGCCAGTCGAACTCTGATATAGTACTATATAAATGAAGCACAAACAATTATCCAGGTTACCAAATGGGTATTTGTAAAGCAGTGGAAACGAATGAATAGAAGAACCAAGACCAAGTTGGCGCCGTAAAGGAGATCTCCGCCCGTTACGTTAGACTTCAAAGTGGAAACCCCGGCACCGAAGCACAAGACTGATCGGAAAAGAAACATTTCGAAAGGGAATGGTGGTATATCATGCAGGTGGAAGGATGCTGCCAAATAGTGACGCACAAGTGAATGAGAAAGCTAGAAAAAGCCATTGCATCAACGAAAGATAGTTGGTGAAGCGGCCTTGTAAAGATCTGGATGTTTAGCATGCCTCGTCAGCCTCTTCCGCTGACTTTCAATACTTCGGCTCCTAGTTCTTCCTCTGAACTGTCCAGATACCGGTCTCCCTGTATCCAAGCCTTTCCCGCTCTCTGGGACTGGCACGTGAAGTGCATCAATATTCGGCATTGGTAGCCACGCAGTGCTCATCGTGCTGCTGCTACCCGGCACGTCGTGCTCCGTCACTGTAGTCATGGGCTGTTTCCAGCTTTTCTCCGATGAAGCTAAGAATGCTCCGACATGCTCCCATTGGGGGTATTGATGAGGTATAGCATCTGCAGAGGCAACTGACAGGCCAGGAGAGGCACTATCGAGGCTCCTCAATTGGTGGCAATATTGAGAGTAGGGCATTGTATGCCGATATTCCGGAGGAGTCGCGAATGAACTGCTCCTTAGGCGCGGTTTGGGGGGCATCGGTCGGAGATCATGACACATTGACCATCTGTGGGACGGCCAGCCATAGCTGTCAACTCTGGGCCTTGCCCATGGACCCTGAAGGCTTGAATGACGGTGTACTGAGGGATCGTAGCCAAGTTCTGGGCTGTTCCTGGCATCCAAAAGCCCGCGGTCCCTTGAATTACCATTGAATGTGAATCTGCGGGCCACTGCAGGTTGATGTGTGGATGTGCGAGAATCAGTCGATCGTCTAGTAGAACGAACGGAGGCTGCGGAACTATATCCGCTGTCAACCGTTCCATGAGCACCTTGGAGTTCTCGATGCCCGTGGTCTCGGAAGGAACGTTCAAGCTGGCGGACAAACCATTTCTCCTCATCAGCGACAGAGATACCTTCATCTTCTGTTTCACTACCACGAAGTTTGTACGGTGTTGAGGTTGCTGGAGATCTCTCGAAAGAAAATGGACTTGCAGGGTGATCGTCAGGCTTTCCCACTTCAGTAGGTGGAATTTGTAACTTTGGAACACGGGCAGTATCGTTACATGGAACCGGAGCATAGTCTTGGATGTTTGAGATATCAAAGCTGGATAGATCAACTTTTTCAAGTGCGCTGTCCCGGACGATCTCAGCTTTCCGGGATTGCTCAATTGCACTCTCAGAGGCATAATCCTGGATGTTCGATAGATCAAAGCTGGTTAGATCCACTTCATGTCCGCTGTCTTGCACAATCTCAGCATTGTGGGATTGCTCGTCTGCACTTGCAGAAGCTGACTGCGGCTTCTGATCTATATGGTATGGCACCTTGTGGGTATAGTGCTGGGGCTGTCCCGGCTTCGTATCATGCGTGTGAATGCCAGTAGGTTCAGGATTCGGGCTGTTGGGACGGTTCAATCGAGTCCTGTCACTGGGGCATGGAGATGCAGAACCATTTACCACACGCAATGATCCTAACTTGAGAGCCCCTAAATGAGTATATTCGAACTCATTGGGAGTTGCTGGACGGACCCGGGTAACCGGACTAGGTGATCCAGCAGCATCTTCGTAACCGGATGGTAACGGCCTTGGAAATGCAGGTGTCTCGTTCAAATAGTTGAGTGACATCGTGGGTTCCCGTACAACTGGTGATGACAATCTTCGGGCTGTATCCCTTGCTTGCCTTCTTGTTGCGATCCCGGGCCGTGTTAGCAGCGATCGTCGACGGATGATAGAAAATCCTTGGCTGTCTACCCTGAATAGTGTATTAGAAGACGTTGCCTCTTCGATTGTACTATGATGCATAGTACTCTGCGCCCTCTGAGGTGTAGTATGCGCAGAATACGCCCGTCTTGGTCGCGGTGGCCGTGCTATCAATGGTTGTGGTCGACTTGGGAGAGTTGTTGCCTGAAAGCTATTGTGTCTGGAAGAACGGCGAGAGACTTGACCGCTCATAACGGGGTCTGGCATAGGGACGGTAGGAATGTGCGAGTACAGACTAAAATCATCTGGCTCTTTAACCATAGACTGGCATTTTCGGGCCCTGCTAAGAGTGGGCCATGGCTCCCCAGGTCGATAGGAGGCAGATGGAAGAGACTGCGACCTCCTTGTGCATACATCGGGCTCAGGGGCCTTGAGGGAGATGGAAGTTCCGGTCCAAGGGTCTTGCCAAGCAGTACAAGCAGGGCATTCTATAGGAGAGCTGGTGCCGGAAGTTTGACGAGATGCGCGGAAGCTGTTTGAAGCTAGCGTTGCCCTATTCGGAGGCGGTTTTGAAAGCCGATTGGTGCGGCGACGCTTTTCTTTGCTCTGTACTGAAAGGTAGCCTCCCATGGCTTCCTTCTTGAGTGAAATCCGGAGTGAAGGTTTCAGAAGAACCTGATCCTCTCACCTAAAGGTGCGAGGCCGACATGGGCAGGCCGCAACGTCAGACAATTCAACAAATGGCGTCCAGTGGCTGATAAACAAGTTCACTTCAGGGTTTAATCCGGTAATGCCATAACAGTGGTCAATCCTGCAGAAGAAACTTGGGTACCAACGAGGCTGGAAGCACCAGGCTCCTGCCTATGAGGTAGATAGGCCGAGGGAAGGTTTCAAAAACTTTCGACGACGTCAACCCCGGGTTGATGTGAAAGACTTAGTAGAACACGCAGAGGAACCAAGAGGAAGATTTTCGACGGGACTGGTTCGAGCTTTCGCCCGAAGCGCTGACTTGCGACGCCTCAAGCTGGTAAAGAACCAGAAGAGCGTATTTAGATGATGGGGCAAAAAAGCAAAGACGGCCGACTATATAGGTAGCGAGAGGGAAGCGCTACCCAAAACGAAAAGACAGGACAATGAACTGCTGTAATAAAAAAGAAATACAGCACGGGCGGAATCAGCCACGTCCAACTAGTGGGTTTCCTCCCTCCTGGTTTGTTTTATACGATAGATAGGCAGACAAAATTGAGATGTCAGGAGAAGAGGTACTGAAAGAGTAGTAGTGGAGGGTGGAAGACGACGAAACCAGGAGTGGTGGAGGATGTATTATGCAATAGTAGAACAAAGGAGGTACAAGAAGGGGAGAAAAAGATTATTATCAGATTACCGCGATCCCTGGTAGGCCAGATAAAGATGGGAACAAAAAGGAATAAAATAATAAGAAGATAATAGAAAAAAAAATAAAAAAAGAGAAAGATCAAAACCAGATTGCGAATAAAATTCAAAAACACGGGGTTGAATGGGATGAAGCGGATGGAAAAGAAAGATCGATTAAGAATCGTAGCTGGGGTAAGTAAGGGAAATCAGATACATAAGTGGAGTGGAGATGGACTGGGCTGCCATGGTTGAGGATGCACGAAAG